AAGCTCTCATTGTGGAGAAGGAATTCACATCTCCAGAGGCAAAGGAGGCTGAAGAGATGTGGCTTGCATCATGATGAGAGGGAAAGATGGAACTGTAAGGAGGGAAACAAGCCACCTCAAGTCCAGTGACATGATCCAGGAGCTTCTCCAGGCATTCTCACCCATGAACACTGAAGCACAGAGGGTAAGCAGAGTGTTCCAATCACACCTTGAAGCACCTTTATCTGCATCTATTGCCATTTCTGGGAGGGATGTTACATATTCCTTAAACTTAAAACAATATATTATCTCTGTGTGTGTGCACACAAATACTTTATGCAATAGTGACATATCACAGGAGTCAATCCTATTTTTAGGTACATTCTGTCCTGTCAAAGAATTACTTGCGTATATTCTCTCCAAAGCTTCATAAAAATTTACACAGACTTCCTAAAACATCTGCTTATTTTCACTGCAACATTAATTAAAGCGACCTTTTTGAGATCCTTTTGTTGCAACCTATTCTGCCGCAACCCAAGAGCCAATGGAATAAGACCCTGTAAGAAAAGATCATCTTTTCAAGACAGATTCTCCCTTTTTTATATATAAATAAAATCCTACTCTTTGAATTTAGCAATGTGATTGTTACAAACCAGCTCCGACAGCAGCCAGACGGCAGTGCAAAATACCATGGTGAGCATGGTCTCGGAAAGTGAAGATGCACTTTGAGAGGACTGCATTCATCTGAATATTGTACTACTTCAAGATCAAACTGCCTTTGAAAATGTCAAAGGCAACTATTCAGAGGCAAACACCATATGGTACATTTGTCCTCTTCAATTCCTCTTATAATAAATAGAAGAAAAAGAACATTTCAGACATGAAATGACTGCATGCTGCACTATACAGTGTTGTCACCACAGGACCTCCAAAATGTGAGATGGTGGCAGGAAACTGCTCAAATATGTGTTTATGGGATTAAAAGGAACAGGAATGACCATTAGAAGTCCAGTCTCCAACAGCTCTGCTTGTAACACTATGCTGTGGTTTTGCTCTGGGATCCAGGTGTGATATGCTCAGGAAACACTTCCCAGGATGTCCCTAGGAGCGTATGTAAGAGTAATCTGAAGTTGATTCTTCATGACTCTAATGATAAAGCTCTGAACATCTGGTTAATGCGGCTCTGTGACGTCGTAACAGCTGCTGAATCCCAACACAATCAAACCCAAACCAAGTGAAAATAGTCACGTATTTGTGACTGGGGAAGAACAATCACCAGGACAGCAGCTGAACAGTTGGAGGCATCGTTTTGACATTTAAAGGTGTTTTTAGGAGCAGCTGCACCCTCCTCTCCCTGATGGATTCCCGGTCCTCAGCCTGTGGCCGGTGGGTGGCTGTAGAGGAAGGACAGACCCTTGCACGGAGACCACCATGAGCAGCTCCCTCTGTTCTACTTCAAATAAAGCCATATTTTATAAACTCACAATGGCTGGGACCCACAAGGGCACTTACATACCCAACTGCTGGCTTAAATACGCCTCTAAACTTGAGGTCCTCTCAGCTTAGAGACATCTGCAGTCTCTCTGCTTCTGGCATCCGACATCTGAAGTCCCCTGTGCTGGCACTGCAGTGCCTCCCCATGTCACCAAACAGGATCACATTGCTCACTCCTGAGCCCCGGCAATCCCAATGAGCACTCTCCATCCCTCCTGCCTCTGTCCAACACTCCCACCCTGGCACATCTCTAAATCCAGGGTGGTCACCCATCGCAGTGCCACTTGGCCTCAGAGGCCCAACTGTTAATGACAGCAGTGCTCCTTTTCTCTCTTCTGCAAATAAGTAACATGCAAGTTCATTGGAACACCTGATGGTTAACCTTGCACTGAAATGATTCTTCAAACTGCAAGAAGCAGCAGTTTGCAGAAGTCATCCTGTTTGGTGACAAAGTCTGAATTCCCTCCCTGTGACTGTTAGCACTCAGCTGGCCTGCACCTATCAAGGCAAAGCTCAGTGAAAAGCAGACCAACACAACCCCAGAATGCAAACATTCACGTGATGCACACGTAAATGTAGGTGTCTGTGATCATTCTTAAAGGTCATTTCCAATGGTTCGGGTTGGAAGGGACCTTAAAGCTCATCCAGTCCCAACACCTTCCACTAGAGCAGGTTGCTCCAAGCACCTGTGTCCAGCCTGGCCTCAAACACTGCCAGGGATGGGGCATTGCAGAAGAACCTAGAAGTGAGTACTGGAATAAACATTTCAAGTCTCATACTAAGCAAAATAATTACACACCACCAAGCAAGGAAGGTTCAGGCCTTAAAGTTTTATTGTTGATGAGAAACAAATCTGGCTTGTGATCAGCTGAGCACACTCAGGTAACAAATTAAAGCCACGCTTCTCATTATCCCCTTAATCGCAGCATGTGATACTGAGGTTTTGGAACAACATTAAATTACAGCTCACAAACCAAGATGAAAAATTGAGAGCAGCGGCGGTACAATCTATATGCTCCTTGTGAAGTTAGTATTACACTTTAACTGTGGATTTAACAGCTCACACTACTCTTAGAAGACAATATGCAAAAGCAAAACTGATAATTCCATGGCCATAGTAAACAGTCCCATAAGCCTCAGGTGAAGATGTTCAGCCCAAGTATAACAACCCATGGAAAATGGCTTCTGGTTTCAGAGGACATTTTTACATGTCAGCATGTATCCTTGTTTAACCCAACGGCAGCAAACAGTCACTGAATCTGTCAGAAGAGAGTTTTGTAAGTCAGCTCTGGCCTTCCTGATCTTACCCTTCAGGCCTAAACTCCATCAGCTCCCAAAAACCTGATTTTCAGCTGATGCCCCAGCTGCAGTGTTTGTGCACCTCCCATCAGAGGCCAGGTGTTATCTGCTCCCTCCTATTGGGTGGCACAAGGCGATGGGACACAACTGCTGCCACCTCCTCTCGTGGCACACATTCACTCGAGCCCCGTCAATCCCATTCCCAGCCTTTCCCGGCTGCTGCCGGAGTGCATGGTGAAGCTGAGCAGAACCATAAGCGGTGAGTTGTGGGGCTGCTGGGGCTGGATCTGGATCCACTCCACTGCAGGGATGGCTGCTCTTCAGCATCTGAATTTCTCCCACCACCAGTAAAAGTGCTGAGCTTTACCTGAGGTATATCAATTATCTGCAACACACTGGAAACCAACCCTCTGCTTCTCCTGTTTCTCCTTTCTAAACCACTGTGGGGGACATCCAAACGCTCGAAGCAAAAGCCGGAGCCCAATGGCTTTGCCTTCCAGATGCCTTCTCCACCCCTGCCCTATGACTTGCACCCCATCCCATCCATGCAGCCAGCAACCGTCACACCTATGCTGCTAATCAGCTGTGATAACTGCATTTTCATCAGCTAAAGAGAGATCTGCTCAGTAAGAACAAGTTTTTGGGCTTGTCAATGTTTAGCACAAGCTCTCCTACAGCTAAACCTGTCTCTGATCCCACCAACAACAGAAAGCAGGGTTAATATAGCAAATGCTGCTGTTAGTCATCATCTGAGTCTCACAGGAGTTTTCTTCACATCTCAGAACATTTAGTAGATTGCTTGTTAGAGGAGTAGAAATAATTCGCATAGGAACAATAGTTAAATAAGGACCTTGCAGTTACTAAATACAGCAGTTTCTCTTTTACAAATGAAAGTAGTGCTGCCGTGCTGGAGAGCACAGTGACATGACGGCAAGGAAAGCAGAGATTGGCTTTTATGACACTATTTACAGATTTTCCATTTAAAAAACTGCCGAGTTTGATTAAATACAAGTATAGAACTTTTCTTCCATATACAAACTCTTGTTAGGTGATTAATCATTAAGGTGCTCAGAAGTGTAGATGAAGACAGAAGTTACAGTAGATCAGTTGTGGTTTCGTCTATTTACAAACCGCACTCAGTTGCCTGCTGACGCCAGCATCTTCCAAAGAAGCTGGAAGCCAAGTGGCCAATTACAAATCTACTGCCACGGGGACTGTCATCTCCTTCACAGAACCTCTGTCAGAAGGTAAAATAGCAGTACTTCCATTCATTCTTTATTAGCAAAGGTGGGTGCCCTTGCTAAGTCTGTGTAGTTGGTGGTGCCAGGCGGCATCGCACCGTGAGACACCCTGTTTCTAGCTCTTGACTCCTGTCCAGACCTTACCACCAGAATTTGCTGGTCTGACGGGCAGCTGCCCGAGTGAGAACTCGCAGCACCAGGTTGTTACACTGAAATGCATTGCATGGGGCCTCCTAAGTACTCAGAGAGCTCCAATCTATCCCATGCAACAGAAGGGAACATTTATGTGTGAGAAAACAAACAAGGAGAATGCACTTAGCAAAAAATCTTGTCTTCCCATCAGAAAATATAAAATAAAGTCCCAAGTGGCCCATATTTTGTAGGTCAAATTCCTTACCCATAAACATTCTTGAACAGTTATTTCCTGTCTGATGGCCAAACTCTACCTCTAGTTCCGTTCTCTGGTGGCTGACCACAGACACTGCCTGGCATCACTTCTCTCCATACCAGCTGTACATGCACGGGTGCCTCAGAGGAGCTCAAAGTTTGCTGTTTTGGGACCCATCAAAACCAGGAGGGTATCTGACCATAATGAAAATGCTGATTTTTGTCCTCATCATTTTAAGATGCTATAGAAAAAGAAAGAAAAATGAGTTGATTTGACTCCTGTTTGTAAACTTACTATGTACTGTCATCTTCCCCATGTACATTTAAGTTTCAAACAGGTCCCAGAGATTGCAAGGCAAGAGTGTTAAGGCAGTATAAGAAAGTCGGTATTTTATTCACACCTCTTGATTCCCTTAAATGCATTTCTAAGGCATCAAAAGGGGCATGTGGTTTGTGCTTGCCTTTTCAGAAAAAGGCATTCAGTACACTGTAAAAAATGGGTGCTCCATGACAGACGTAAGCCACTCACAGCCCCAGGCAATGACCACACCATTAGAGAGGAACAGGGAGATGCAGCAGGGTTTCCTGGGTGTGGGTTCCTCACCATCTGTCTTTCTGGTACACATCTGTTTGTACAATCTCGCTGGGGTGCTCGGAGATGCAGGCCCCGTTGATGTCATTGAGCTTGTTGTCTGGAAGATCCTCAGATTTTGTGCAAAGTTTCAGTGCCCTGGAGATGAAGACATCCAAGTCAAACTCAGAGTCTTTTTTGCTGTTCACCTCCGTGGGTTCTTTGTGGAGGTGGTGAGGAGAAGATGGCAGGCTCCGTTCCTGAATCTCTGGAAGTGGACTGGGACACTCGAGACCCACCTGCGTGCTCTTCACCCACTGAGCAATCTCCAGGAAGAGGTTGGATGGTTCTTCTTCCAGCGACAGCTCAGCTGTGGGTGCTATGGTTGCTCTTTTCCAATGTGATAAATCTAAGATAAGCTTGGGCTCCGAGTAGTGATGGGGCTTATTGTCCCTCCACAGCAATTTGTCCAAGTAGGAAGGTGACCCCACTTTGTAATCACATGATTTCCCACAATCAGCGTCAAATACTCGGTCCATGGATGAGTGGGAGAGCTCCAAGAACCTCTCCGAGCTGCTCTGTGAGTACTTCCGTGGATCAACTTGTGCTTCCTCAGCAATGGATTCAGACCCTGCCCGAGGGTCCCGCTGGACATCATCCATGTCGTGGTATTTATCGTGCCTCCATTCCAGGTCAGAGGAGAGGCTTATGTGATATCTGTGAAAGACACACTGCTATTAGACACGCAGATGATGGCTTCATTAGAAACAGCACTTCTAAAACAGACATAGAATCACAGAATCACAGAATGGTTGGGGTTGGAAAGGACCTTAAGATCATCTAGTTGCAGCCTTGATGCTGCGATTTTTGCCTTTTTCTTGCTAATATACTGCTTAAACTACAGATCTCTTACTTCTTATTAGTATTAGAGACCTCTCTCGTGTGTGTTAAAACAGGCTGGGGAGTGAGAAGTTTATCAAGAGTCTGAGATGGGACCAGTAGTAGGTATAAAGCCCCAACAACCAAACCAACCAAACTCTTCATTTAGGCCTTCATCATCTTCCCTCCCCTTGGTATTAGAACATTATTAACAATACTAATTACGAAACTGACCCTCAGTCCACAGACAAGTACCCTCAGTGTGAGAGCTCCTTGTTTGTTGCCATGAAAGTAAAAAAGATGAGCTTCAGTCCCCACTGAGATTGTACATCCTCAGTTTACTCTGACATGGTGGACCAAGACCATCCCTGAGGGGCCACCTTCCAAAGTGATAACTTCTCTACATTAATTGCAATTACCCAATAACACCCATTCTTAGACATGGTTTTCAAAGCGACATCTAATTTACTGGTTCCTAACCGAGCTGCCTTGTAAAGATGTATTATAGAATCCTAGAACCCCAGTTACTGGGGCTCTATGTCTCAGCAATGAAATGGTCTTCAGGTATCCCACAACAAACAGGCAGAAATCATTTCTCATCTCTAAAACACTCAGATTGTGTTGCAAAAATTATTCCCCTATAGCAGATGTTCCCAGCTGGGTGGCAAGACCTACGGCCCCGGTCCCAGCTCCGTGTGTCACACCAGGAAAACCAAGAGACAAAAAGGTGACAAGGTGACTTCCAGCAACTAATTTGGGGATTATAACCAGCTGCTTTGGGGATTATAACAGGCAGGGATGCTGGAGCTGTGGGTACACTGAAGAGAGAGATCCTGAGAAAAGCCTCCAGCTTTTCTCTTTACCTAATTTACCTCGTTGCCCCCCCAGCCTCCACACTGATATGTGTTCACCCAGGCAGAGAGATTAGTAATAGTGAAGGAGAGGGATTTCTTTAGATTATTTTTTCAGTGCTGGTGAAATACGGTGGATTAAGAAGGCAAGGAGATTTAATTGCTATTCAGAGAGCAACAATGCTGCAGACATCCTCAGCCAGCTCACCCCGCTCAGCTGGAAGGAGCTCTATAGGAAAATGAACCTACTTAATTCTTAGCTGCTTATTTTGTCCTACCTGCTCTGGTACTGGGACTGGCCTAGTAATTGGGGTAATTATCTAGGACATGAGAGACCTCAGCTCAAGGCTTTGGTCTACTCTAAACTTCCTGTACGACTTCCAGCAAACCATTTAAAAGTCATACAATTAAGAATATTTTAACAGACCCCAGATTCGTAGCCTCTGGGGCATATGCACCTTGAAAAGTGATATACTGCTCCAAATCAGGCCTGGTCCCTAAAAGGCACAAGAATTACATTATTTTGTAACTGGTATTATCACCGAATCCCAGACTGGTTTGTGTTGGAAGGGACCTTAAAGCTCATCCAGCTCCAACCCCTGCCATGGGCAGGGACACCTTCCACTAGAGCAGGTTGCTCCAAGCCCCTGTGTCCAACCTGGCCTTGAACACTGCCAGGGATGGGGCAGCCACAGCTTCTCTGGGCACCTGGTGCCAGGGCCAAAGGACAGAGGGAAGAACCGCAGCATCACTTAAACAGATGTAACTCAAATGGAGACAATATAGGCTGTGAATAAAACCAAGAGCAGAAAGACAGTGACTGGGACATGCAGATTCAACATCTGCTCACTGCGGAAATCAGTGACAAACCCCTCGTTGGCTTTAAAGAAAGCATAAAGAAGGAAAAGCATGTTTCTTTCTTGGGTCTGGAACATGTGACTGAACCCAGCCAAAAGCAGGTCAGAGGCTCACCAGTCAGGTTCTGCCTAAGTTATTTAAGCCAGTATCTGGTCTGTGGCCCAGCCTTGGGTACCATACCTGTCCGAGTTAGACATCTGGCTCTGGTTGGCTTCCATCAGTAAAATATCATCAATCTCATCCTCAATCCGGAACGGATGCTGAGACACTGGTTCATCCTCAGGGCAGGAATACTGACTCATGTAAGGATGCTGCAGACCCATCTCAGCCGTTAATCGATCCATAGGGTTAAATGTCAGTATTTTCTCCAGAAAATCAATAGCTGTGAAGCAAGGAGAAACAAGCTCACTAATTCCTCAAAAGCAACATCAGCTTCCTCTCCAGGATGTGCCTTTTGAATCCCCCATAACTAATCCCTTTGAAGTAAGGAAGGAATTAAAGGTCACATGCTATGTGCATCTCGAACAGGCACTTCTATCCTCGCACCATCCATCCTATCTGCCCCGGGAGCAGTGTCCTTGCAGTGGAGCAATCCTACAGCCTGCAGGTGTCATTTCATCTAGCAAGGCAGAAGAAATGACTGAGAGCATCACACCTCCACAGCACACCATGTACATGCTATACCGTGTACTGTGATCCTGAGCCAGAACACTGAGCTCAAGGTCAAAAGACCTTTGTGAGGTGTCGGGTTTGATTCCATGCTCTCCGATCCATTTGCCAAGCACACTGAGCTTCAGACAACTGATTTCACATCATGTGCAGCTGAAGTGGGATTAGATTTAAAGTGCAATTTTTAAGTCTTTAGTGTGACCAACACTATGAAATTATTTTACCCTTTAATATTTAAAGAACTCCAAGTGCCTAAAATTACTTTAGAAAGACTGTGGAGCATGAACTCTTTTTACAGTGATGAAGGAGGAAGTTAAGTGAAATTGAAATTACTAGAATTACATCTAAATATAGAGGGTTTGTTGTGATTTCTTTGATGATACCTTTTACTGAGCTTATGTGGAAAGATCAAATCCTGTCATTAAAGAGTTTATTCAATTGATTCTTGGTGTGTGGAAAAGACCCTTTAGAGTTCAGATAATACAAATAGGAAAATGCCTTTCTTCAACTGCAACTGTGGATTGTACCATCAGAAACATCCTCATTAAAGGTGTAAGTGTGAATAGGACAGTTTCTCCAGGGACAAAAATTGCTCAGCAGAAAGGCCGGGCCATACCTATTGCCTCAGTGCTTAAACATTAACCAATATCCAATTGTCTCCCACAAGATTATTTCATTGCTTGGACTAATTAAGTAGGAAGGAATCAAAAGCTTCATAAGGTCACCGACTGCGGGTAAGAAGCACGGAGGAATGATGTATTACAAGCTATATATTACGATGTAGTACGGGTCAGAGAGGAAGGAAAATGTCAACGAATTATACAAAGGGCACAGGTGACCTTTCTTCCCACAGTAACAACAGGGAATAAATCCATCCCTGCTTGCCGAAGCCTGACGTGGGTAACCCAGGCCGATGGCTATCACATTGCCAAGCCCTGGTAGCACACGTCCTATAACCAGGAATTATGCCAATGAACATAGGACAGGCTGGGTTGAACATAAGCCAGGCTGGGTCTTGACGTCTTCCCAAAAGCAGGAGGCCAGGTCCACTACCCCGGCTTAAGCCCTGACACGAGGTCAGAAGAGCTGATGTGCCCTGATCCACACTGCTCAACTCCAGCTGCCACCCTGCAAGCTCTCCCTGCCTGCAAAGCTGCTCCAGGGAAACATTCAGGTCTGAAAGCCTGTGGTTTGCAGCCCCCTCACAACAACACCGCTGATTTCTACTTTTTTAAGCTTTAGCCAAAGAAGGGAAGGGGTTGAACTGGTGCTCGAGCACTGCAGGCTGTGACAGCCTGACGTGAGTGATGCCCAAGCCTCAAAGCACTTGGATGCTTCTGCTTGTAGCAACCATCTCACTGAATTCAGACATCTGTGAAGTAAAAACACTTATTTTTTGTATTATACAATTGCATTCATGCAAAAAGTACATCAAGAAAACGAACATGGCATGAAAATAACCTCTGGGGTGAAGCCTCAGCTCAAGAAAAGGCACAGGAAGGCAGGGATGCACCTTGAAAGTGTCTTGTAGGACTATTTCACCCTCGTTTCTGTAAGAGCTACCTGCAAGAAAGCTACTGCACCACCATTGCTGTCCTGCGGCCCACATCTTCCCTGGTGAGATGGCAAGCAGGACCCTGGTGGGGACAGCAGTGGGGCCATGCACTGTAACCCCCCCCCAGATATCTGAATCCTGTTCACCAGCGTTAATGCACTTGGTCTTAGAGGAGAATCCCTGTGGTCTGCTGAAATAGGTCTGCTGAAGCCAGCAGGCACTACAGTACCTTCACTGTCCACTTCGGGGAGCAGCTTACGCAGCGGCTTCCTCACTTCCCAGGTGCTGTTGATAAACGTGGGCATCACTTTGAGCAGCTCCTCTTTGTCCTCCTCGTGGACAACGGGAATTGTCTCCAGAATAAGCTGCATCTGTTCCAGCTCGTGACCCCCTAAATGGGCAGAGAACAGGCAGAGAGGTAAGACATCGAAGTTAAACTGAGTGTGCTTGTGTGTGGTGCTACCTCCCTGAAATGAGCCATGTCACCGCAGCGCTGCATCTCTGAGTGCACCTCTGAGTGAAGCATTGATGCTTCCCAGCTTCAGCCACCAGTCCTTGCTGCAAGGAAAACGTCGTCACCACCTTCTTATGACCCAGCTGCAATGATATCCCCAGGTCACTCTCCTGCTTCTCTGTCCCCATCCTTCTCCTGCTTGAGAGCTCAACTTTTGGTTCTCCCTCTACACAGCAGCACATGGAGCAACCGCTCAGGTGTGTCCAAGGCAGAGGTTCAGGTGAGATGCCTCCATTCACACACACACAGAGGCTGTGCAGCCCACAAAGCCCCCATATGTCATCTCCCACTATCCCTGGTGGGACAGCAGGGTCACCTCTTTTTAAGGGTGAAAGAGTTAACCTAGATGATTTGCCCTCTTATCACCCTTAGGCTGTCAGGCAGAGCAGAAACTGTACCCAACCAAAATCAGAGGTGGGAGCTATGACCCATTGGCAGGCTCCATCCTGTGTGATAGCAGGAGATGAATATTTGCTCTAACAAACAGCCTCAAAAATGACAACTTCCCCCCCTCTGCTGCACTCTGAGGAGACCCCCCCTGCAGCCCTGGTCCAGCTCTGGGGAAGAGCACAAGAGGGACGTGGAGCTGCTGGAGCGAGGCCAGAGGAGGCCCCGGAGCTGCTGCGAGGGCTGGAGCAGCTCTGCTCTGGAGCCAGGCTGAGAGAGCTGGGCTGGGGCAGCTGGAGAAGAGAAGGCTCCTCAAGGGGACACCTTAGAGCAGCTCCAGGGCCTAAAGGGGCTCCAGGAGACCTGGAGAGGGGATTGGGACAAGGGATGGAGGGACAGGACAAGGGCAATGGCTTGAACCTGCCAGAGGGGAGACTGAGATGAGCTCTGAGGCAGAAGCTCTTCCCTGGGAGGGTGCTGAGGTGCTGGCACCAGATGCCCAGAGAAGCTGTGGCTGCCCCATCCCTGGCAGTGTTCAAGGCCAGGTTGGACACAGGGGCTTGGAGCAACCTGCTCTAGTGGAAGGTGTCCCTGCCCATGGCAGGGGTTGGAGCTGGATGAGCTTTAAGGTCCCTTCCAACACAAACCAGTCTGGGATTCCATGACTCTCTTTAAGCACTGGGCTTGTCCACAAGCCCACAAGAAGCATCACAGCTCACATGGCTGCAGCCAGGCTGGGCAGTTCCTGCAGCTGTCAACATGTGTCCCTGCCATGCCCTGTGCCATGCCAAGGAGCAAAGCCCCTCTGTGCTGTGGCAACAAAAAGAGCTGCCAGAAGCCCAATGACAAAAAGAAGATGGTTAACCCAGCTCCAGGGTCCCAAAGCTTGATCTTCAAATGTAGCATTTGGGAGAGCACAAGGCTCTGATTGTGACAATCCCCACAACTGCTATGAACAATCATGTATTTTTCATCCTTTTCCTTCAGGACATATTTATCCACAGCTACGAGTCAGTGAGAGGAAGAAGCAGCATTGCCAGTGGAGCGGAGCCAACCACCTCATTAATGAACGTTAATCCCATTCTTTAATGCACTATTGGATTTGACCGACAGCTCAGCAGCTGATTTCCAGCCTTCTGTGTGTACAGAGAAGCAGCCTGGCAGAAATATCGAGTCACACTATTGATTTTGTGTCTGCCAGAAACGCCGGTTATAAATACTCTGTTATTAGAGGCAGGACTATCCATTAAGATAGCAAGCTGGCTGGCGTGGACAAATCAAAGAGGGTTTTGGGGCTACTAAGTCCTTGCTGTTCAAGTCGTGGATTTCAGGTGGCTTCACTGGCAAGCAGCACCCGGATGACCTGCAGCAAGAGAAGCAAACCTCATTTGTGGCACAGCACTTCTAACCAGTCTGCAGGGAGCATGGACAGCACAGCCCGCAGGGGCTGGTGCAGACCACCACTGGCTTCACGCCCTCAAGCCACTCTTTACCTTTGGAGGTCCCTGGCACCTTGCAAGGGCCGCCCTCCCCAGCCCAGAGCTCCCTCTGGGTCTGCAGGAGGTTTCCAGACTCAGATCCATGGAGCCGACCCCAAACACACACACTCCGGGGCAAGGGCACGTCCAAATGTCAAGGTGGAGAAAAGGTCTCCATCCATTGTGGCCTCATCACTCCAGCAAGGTTTGGTTCAATGCAGTTGTCTGCACCCTGAACAGTAGAGCTCCAAGCCAGGACATGGCAATGAACTTAGACAACATCAAAGCAACACCGACATCTTTTGAGCAACCTGCTCTAGTGGAAGGTGTCCCTGCCCGTGGCAGGGACTTGGAATTGGATGAGCTTTAAGGTCCCTTCCAACACAAACCAGTCTGGGATTCTGTGACATTAGCAGAGCTGGTCAGCATCACACCACACATCCACCCAGAACAAAGCTTCAGAAGAAGATAGAGCAGCAGGAAAGGCAAAAAAGACAGAGGGACACCCTCCCAAAAGATCGATCCTGGGAAAATTAGTTAACTTCCCTACAGAAGAACTAATTTAAGATCACTTAGAAGTTCACAGCACGGCTCCAGGAGAAAATAAAGATGACCATCAAGAAACACCTTGTTAGTCAGGCTAATTCCCAAACTGCAACCAGAATCACAGGGTATTGAAAATCCCAAAGGCTTTATGGCTGTTCTCCTCTCAGTGCAGCTCCAAGCACTGCTCACTGAAGGTACCTGGCAGCCAAAAAGTATCATGTTTAGTCACACAGAGAAGCTGCTAATGCAACACTGGAAGCCTTGAATTATGGCTCTCAGGAATCCAGTTCTCCACCATTATCCTCTTATTTATGTAATTCCTAGGGATCTTCTGGAGGCATTAATTCCTGAGAAGAAAAACACAAACTACAGACAGAATAAACGTAATGTGCTGTCATTACCCGAGGAGAGAACAAGGAGCTCTGCATCACGTCTTGGAAAAGGGAACCCTTCCCCGGGCTTGCAGCCAAATCCTGGCTAAGCACCCAAGCCCTGCTGGCGAATCCTCTGGGAGCAAGCACTGATCCCATGGGAAATGACACCACACCACCTTGTATCTCATGGCCACGGCGATGGCCCCACTGGCAAACCCCACAGACATCGGCAAGGACAGGCAGCTTTTCTTTTTCTCCTATTTTCTCTTGCCTCTACTGGTGATGCTTTCAGATGCACTTTGGCACCAGAGGGTGGAAAAGTCACTGGAGGGAGCTGTAGCTGCTCCGTTGTGGATGCTGTTCCCTGTTTTCCACGCAGCTCATGGTGGGGGAGCTCTCCAAAGAACCGGATTTTAGCTGCTGGAGACAGGCTACACCCCGTGAGCTTTGGATCAGTCACATTTCTTGTGGTTTCCTGGGTCTCTGTCAAAACTGCTCCTGGCATCACACCACCCAGAGAAGGGGCTGTGGGGAGGGGAAGGAGCCGGGGTTCCTCTTTGCTGTGTGTTCATTAACTTGTGTGGGAGAATGAAAGCAGTGAGTGACATCTATTCCTAGTAACCGATCACCTTAATTTAACTGTATTGCTTAAGCAGCCCAGACAGACTACTGAGTTAATTACATTGACTTATGCTAAGCACTCGATTTAAGTTGTGCCACTGACGCATACTCGGAAAACAATTTACCCAGTGAAAGGCAATTACTGGAGGTTTGCAGCTTTCTGGGAACTACATCGCTCTTCATTCCCACGGGGTGTTGCTGGTGATCCAGAACTCTCCAGAAGTCTCATCCTACAGTGATGGGGGCTGTAACTGGCCATGGGCAAACTCCTTCTCCCAGGCAAAGTGGAGAAAAGCAAAAGCAAAGATGAACCTGTGCTGTCCTGCAGGTGTTTGCCAGTTTTAGTTGCTCTGAGTGGTTGGGGCTTATTCCCCTCCTCTTTGGACACCAGCACATGAAAGAAGGCACATGGCATGGGACACTGCCACGGGCACCCTGCCCACTGCCAGGTTCCCATCCTGGCTCTTCTTTACTTACTGGTATAGGAGGAGGCCTATGGGGCACAGGGCCAGGACCTTCCCATAACAACTCTACAGACTATTTTTAAAGCAACCCAAAAGGAGTACGTATTTTGAGCTCCGGTTTTGATCCCCACCCTTTAACTCAGTATCCTGCCATCATCTGGGGGCTTATTAAGGGATTGCACAGGGCTGGAAAGCAGAGAAGCAGGGATGCTCACAGCATGTGTCTGGCTGAGCCCAGCCTGTGACCTGACAAATCCCATCTCCGACCTGCTATAGACTCTCAGGAACCTGCCAACGAAGTTCCTGTATGGCTGCTCTGGGGCACCTCACCTGGGCAGTCAGGACAGGACTGATGGGACCTGTACCCACGTGTAACACCAGCACAGGCACTTCAGCTGTCCTCCAGACACTCCTTGTATTGGAAAAAATAAATATGTCTAAGGTCAGTTAATCTCATCTAATGCAGACAGCTAATAGAGGACAGATGAATCACATCCTGGAGCTGCCTTTGCCTCTGCCTTGACCATGAAAGGAGCTTTAAGGACCAGTGTGTAGGTTGTAGGTATCTCGTGTCAGCCAATGTAAATTCTACCCCAGGGTCTACAAACAGCAAAAACAGCAAGCTGAGACAGGGGTCAAGCATGGTTTGAAAAGCCAGGCTAAAGATGAGTGCTTGCCGGCTATGGTGGGGATGGCCAGAGAAGGACCTGGACAAGCCAGTCCTTGTTTTGCTGTTTGACACAGGCAATGAGTACAGGAGAAGAGAGACTTATTTGAGTCCAAAAGGATTATCCTGGGGCTCCGGCTACATCCAGTTTAGTATGAGGTAGTGCACTGCTCTGCTCTGGTGCAACTCCTGCAGGACCAGAACCATCCACGCTAGGGTTTCCTTCTGCTGCTCTGGTTTACCTGGAGATAGTTTGGATCCAGTGCTCTGCACTAGTGGAGCTGAGATGCCTTATGATGCCTGCAAAGGTATCGTCCAGTTTGCTCCCACCCAAAAAGCTCAGAGACTCTTCCATGCCTTGGCAAAGGGAGGCCCCTGGCAGAGCTGTCTCTGGAGCAAACCCATGTGCAGCATCACCCAGCACCTGCACAGACAAGTGGCATGTGGAGACATCCCCTCTCCTGGATTATATCCCGAAGAGGCAGCAGGAGCAGCCAGGTCTGATGAGTAATTTTCATAACCGAGGTCCCTGGATGTGAAAATTCTGGGGAGGGAGGACCGAGGACAGGAGGAAGGAAGGAAAATGAGGCCGTTTTAATGACCTCTTCCAATGATGTCGACTGATTCATTTTCAGCTTTCACAAAAGAAATATGGAAGCTGGAGCATGGAGGGAGCAACGGAGCAGCTGCAATCAAGCACCAGCTGTGGAGCTCTGCAGCGCACCGAAATGTTTGTGGAGAAAATGTCCTTCTCCATTATTAATGGGCCTAATTATTTATTTACACAACCCCGCGAGCAGCTGCTCACAGACCTTGTCATTCACAACACTAACGGGCAATGGAGAGACCGGCGAGGAGGAGCGCTGCTGCAGATGCCGGGCAGGGGAGCAGCGTGGTCAGCAGGCAGACAGCGGCTGCTTCATCCCCGAATGCATGTCTCCACGTCCAGCCTGGGCAGTGCAGCTTTGCTCCTGACAGGGGCGCTTTTGGAATTGCATTATATCAAGATTTGCATCTCAAGAACATCAGAGCTGGGCTGCAAATGCTACGCTGATAATTATGCGCTCCGTGCCAGAGCTGCCTTTGTCTACTTTTCTTTGTACTGCACCTTTAGAACTCCAATACCTGCTGATAGGAAAATCCTGAAAATGGCTGAAAATGGGTAGTGGCATTAAAATGTCTTCCCTCAAAGAAAAGAGATGCCTTGAAGACACCAATCACAATTCAAAATCAATGGTACAAACCTCTTGGGACAGGCCCACTTTATTTCCTGTCCTATACTCCACCCTATGTTACTTTTTAGCATTGTCCCTGCCAACAAATGCTCCTATTTTCTGTTGAAAACCCAGAAACAGGAGAAGGTCTGGTTGTTTCATCAAAATTGCGCATTGTTTGGGTTTTACTTTTGGCAGCAGACCATCCCCACAGCAGCACTGTCAACCCCAGCCAGCCTCAGGCACCCCACCAGCTGGTGGCTTCCCTCTGGGGACATCATACCAATATGACCACGTGTCCTTGCCAGGCAAGCACAAGAAAACTGAATAAAAATCAACTCTTCTCCATCCCCAGGGGCCTGCCTGTACCAGGGAAGTCTGCACCAACCAAGGGACCCTCTAATATAGGCTGTGCAAGTGATGTTTGTTCTGGAGACAGCTCTAATGTAACCAACTGTAGGATCCCTGTAGCGATGCTACAAGCATTGCCTTAGCTGGGAAGGAGAGCGGAATTACCTCTGTCATGCTAAGAAGGCTTAGAATTGGGTAGCAGAGAGAGAGGGAGGGATAAAACAAAAATGAATCAATAGGGAGGCAGAAACCTACCAGCAAAGAGCATCCTTCCCGTCAGCATCTCGGCTAGGATGCAGCCGGCTGCCCACATGTCAATGGCTTTGGTGTAGTTGTTTGGCGAGAGGAGGAGCCGGGGGGAGCGGTACCATTTCGTTACTAAGCCTTCAGAAAGGTAACCCTGTAAGAGCAGAGACAGAGATGTCAGCAACCTTGCAGCAACCATGCTGACACCATGGCCTCACCATCAGATCCTGCAGAGAAACCTGCCCACTGCACTTGTGCTGCATCTAAGGCAGGCTGCGGTTGTATATCTTGCAGGAAGCAAGGACATGAGACATACGCCACGGGAAACAAGAGATGCTTCAGTCCTCCAGGAGGCAAAGCACTTGCAGCTCCCCTAAAACTTGTTTGCTGTTTGTCACCATGGGATTGAAGCAACTTCTGCAAAGAACAGATGGTTTGAATTGCACAGATTTGCAGATCATACCTGCAAAAGTTATTTCAGGTCACTGTTACAAGGACTTAGATTTATTATATAAATCCCAATTTCACCATCTGAGGCATTTTGGAAGTTAAGCACGTTATTTCAGTACTTTTCTGGGTCCCAGCCGTAACCCAGCAGCGTGTGAAGGTAGCTTAGACTTCCAAATGTTACCAGGTTGCAAGCTTTTGCTGATTCCATCTCCAGTTAATCCCACATCTACAGTCCCTCCATAGTTACCTAAACCACTGGTCACAGCAAGCTAATACTGCTGAGTTCCCATGGATCCAACTCCAAGCACTGATGCTAAAAGTGAATTTTATAAGGTCTGGAGCTCCCAGGGGAGCCCACACAAGAGCAGCTACCCATGGGTCAGTCCAGCAAGCACCAGGGACACACAAGACCAGAGCAGAGGTGGCCCAAAGGACTCCCAAGAGGGCAGCACCCACAGGATGTGCTCAGCAGGATCTGGCCTCTCACAGAAGCCAGGCTTCCTCGGGATGCTACCACAGCAAACCCCACTTGGTTGGGGCACATGCTGCCAACTGCGGATGAGCCCATTCAGCATCTCACCGGGGTGAGACATGAGACCTCGTAATAAAAGAGCAAAATGAGGGAATGAGCAGAGAAATGGATTTAGGGAGGAACACCACTACTGCGTGGAAGGAAAGCCTCCTGGATGAGCAGATGTCTTAAAGCATTGCTGCGCGGTTAACAGCCCCACAAGGGCTCTTAGCCAAGACTCTTGAAAGTAAGACACCATGGGATAAGTGGGAAAGCCCTTTGGAGGATTAGCTAGCTGATGCAGAGCGAGGAAACCCTGCCATTTCTGCACCAAGCCTGACTGTTGCCTCCCTCCCTCCCTGCCCAGCTCTTGGAGACCCAGCATTACAGATGCGTGGTGTGGGACAGCTCCTTTCCTCTGTCCTACTTTGCTTACAGTAGGATGTTTTGCTGGGATGCCTGACCTGCTTCTAAAGGAGATGCCCTCAGCAGCACCCCATGGGACAAAGACCGAGCGCTGTCGCCTCTTTGGACCTCAGCCTTCCTGTTCCTGAGCTCACCCAGGAGATTCAAGACAAGTGCCAAGCGCTCAGCAGCTCCCGCTGGAATCAAGGGGATGCGTTCAATCCTGCAAATAACACTGGCACCGTGAGGGATGTCCCATCGCCCCCCGCTTTGCCCGCCAGCCAAGCTCCGGATGTGTGCCGCGGTTGGGCATGAATAGTTATTTCATCAGGATAACGCCAGAATATTCCTAAGTGCCATTTTCTACATTAAATATAACACATTAACAGAACAAGATAGATTGAAATGCAATCATAGAAGTAGAAAAGACAAACTAAAATTAAATTATAAATTTAAATTGCATTTAAAATGCCATGAAGCATTTGGAGAGTATCTAAACGCAACGGCAGCATGAATACAGTTCACATAAAAACTCAGTTACAAACTCCATCCTAGCTGGTTTAATTCACAAACTGTTTTCAGTTGCGATACAACTGTGGATGCAGTTATGCCATATAACATCTCCTAGCATGTTACAGGATACATCTCTCAACCTAAACATGAGAGCAGTGCACCATTACAAACACTACAAGGTTCATAACGCTCCTCTTCCCCCAGTGCAGGTTTTTGTTCCCATTTCCAAATGTGCAAGTCATCAAGCTTTTAATCATGAAGGGTTTGCTTTTAAAAGAACGTTTTAATTTTGGTCTTCTTGAGATAAATTGTAATGGAGACTGATGAGCTGAGAAGTTTCATTTAATGCCATTACATTTTTGCTAATGCTGCTGAATCAGAACCAGCACAAAAGCCCCCAGGCATTAACTGATCAGACCGCCGCTCTTCAGCTACTGCAATTATTCCCAACAATGCTGGTATTTATTGGAAAATCTTAAGAAAATGAATTTTGGGGATAATGATCCCAGGCAATTCATAGCTGGAGCAAATTCTTCCCTTTCACAGCAAAGGAATGCCACTCTCCTTACAGTTTTAACACTTGGTTCATACATTTCTCTTCTCTGACAAGATGGATTTGAGTTCTCGGGGGCATGTACAGCATGCAAAATGTATGAGGAATATACTGCAAATATCTGTATGTTAGAACAAGCCAAACCCTTTTTCCTCCAGGCATCTCTTGTGTATTACAGAAAATTCCCTGCAAAAACTCACCCAATATTGTGGACACATCAGCCTCTCCCCTGCTGTGTGAGGATACTGGTGGCAATTAATTAGCAGCATTTCTCATTGTGCTTCCCTCTTCTGTCATCCATCACCATGTATTGACTGCCATCCCCCTGCTTTCCTCTCCTGAATAACCCAGACATTGGGTCACCCACCACGAAACTGAGGAAGGACCCATGGAGAAGAGCAACTACGTCACAGCTTCTCCCCATCCCACTGACTCACAGCCCACAGAGATGGATTCCTCCTTGCCTCCCATGGCATTCTGCTGCTGGTCTCTGGTTTATCCCTCCTCTTCCTTCCCAGCAGGAAAATAGTGGGAAAGGATGATGGGAGGTTTGAAGATCAAGACTTTACTGAGGTCTTCCAGTGGGACCAGCTAGGGTTGCTCCCACAACATCCCACTCCTGGGTAGCTTACACAGCCCCAACGCCTACGTCTGCTCTGCCTCCATGGTGGCTAAAAACATGGACTATGTGTTTACTTTTATAAAATATATAGAACAAGTTGCTGTTCTACCACCTGGAGGAAATAACTACAACCCTGTGGACTATCAAATCCCCAGGAGAAATATCACCACAGCTGTGGGAGCTGAGATCATGCAGTCACTGGCACAGACATGAGATGCTTGGGTAAGGATCCACCTAAGCCTGGGTTAGGTATGGGCTTGGCTCTTACCCGTGGTGCCAAGACTTATACGAGGACAGGAGCCATGCCAGGATGGAGAGCCCAAGCACTGCCAGCCATCACCTATACAAGGCACGGGCTTTAGCACAAGCATTTCGCCATTTACGTAGATTAGCCCAGATAGACAGACCAAGAGCAGAAGCATATTAATTAGTTCTAATTAAGATGGAACATACATCCTCATGACCATATTCTGTGGATTCAGCACAGCCCTTTCTGAACTGAAGAACTGCCAGAATCTCTTTAAAAACCAGTATAACGGAGTTAATTTGAAAACAGAAGTATTTTAAAGTCCAAGGGTTGCTCTCAAGCCCTCCCACGCTATTTTGGGGGGTTTGGGGGGGGGGGGATGTATCATTTTCCTGCTTCTCCTCTGCTCCCGCAGCATGTGCAGGCATGCTCACGCAATCTATAAAGGTGATGAATTCACAATAGGTAGGATAAACATCGAGTCGTATCCAACAGCACCAGCAAGAAACTGAAAAGCAAAAGAAAAATGAATGTTTTTTTCTAACCTTGACATAGCACAGGTTTTGTGTGTCACTTGCAACATCAGAAGTTAAAACTATTTCAGGCGGGTACTGCTACATCCCGGCATCGCACTGGCCATGGCATGCTGGACCACCTGCATCCTGAGAGCACCACGGGAAGCTGGCACGGCATGGCAGCACATGGGGAGCACAGCAAGATCCTCCAGTGCTCCAAAACAACCATCATCCATCCTCCTCCTTGGAGCTGGAGGACTCCTTGAGGTGGACACCAAAATCCAGGATCCCACCTCCTGCAGACCAGGCAGCCCCTAACACTGCAGCCCAAAGCTTCTGCTGAGAGTATTTCACACCAAAATCCCTCTTCCTGCACTCAAAAAGCCGTAGAGGTACAGACCAGGCACCCACAAACTCTAAATCCAGCAGGATCCAGACACAGCCTGTGTATCCACACCTCCATCCACAGCAGCAGACAGGACTTCTGTAGCTGCACCAGGAGCTGGGTCAGCTCCTGCTGCAGATGGCTGCAGTGCCAAGGAATGGGGACTCAAAATAGCAACAACCCCAAGCTTTTGGAATGATCCTGGTGCAGCAGTGGGCTGCTGCCTCTGCACAGCATGGTTCTTAACCTTATCTTTTACAAGGCAGGTAGGGAAGATCTAGGAGGAGCTGAGAAAGACACCGGATTTGCAGGAACATTGTTCCATAATAAAATAATAAAACTGGCATTGTGCATGGTTCCAGCAACGTGACGTGTGTTCTCATGGTTTTGGGATGACAGAGCGCATTTATTTCAGGACTACAGACTGTTTTGTGCTTCATCAGAGAAGGAGAACAACCAAGTCGGGGTCACAGCGGTGCTGCCTGCACAGGGCCATGGGCAGCTGCCCGAGGGCTGGACGTGGAGGGTGGTCCTCTCCAGAACGAGTACGGACCAACAACCACATCCTTGTCTCCTTTGAAGACCTCCTCACGATGCCCCACCTGGGAATTTCGTTGTTTTACTGGATGAACTGGAAGCTATTAAGTTTGCATTGACCAGCAAGTACAAAACAAAGGGAGGACTTCAAAGGTTTGAAGATGTTCTGGAAACTATTTACCATGAGATCGCCCCCTAAAAGTGCTGCTGCACCCTCCTTAGCAGGAATTTCTGCCAATTAATTCTGTAATTAATGTTGCCTTAAGCAAAGGGAGAGAGGCAGCCCCATGCAGATGGCCCCAAGCACTTCGGGGGACCAGGCAGAACCCCCATATCCCTGGTAATATGACTATTTTGTACAACATGGGCAGGCTCAGGAGTGTCCCACTTCACTGCCTTGTTACAGAGCTTCAGCAAGTCTCCATATCCCCATATAATAGCAGGCATTTCTGCCGTCTTCTCCAGCCAGGACCACCCAACCCAACAGCTTATCTCTGACCAGCACTGGGCAACATGCCACATGGGATGCACAGCCAGGGCTGTCTGCCCTCCAAAATTATTCTTAAGCCTAGACATTCATTGATATTTATCCCAATTCTTAATGCTTGACTTTGCTACCTCCCTGCTCTCCTGTCCCTCCTGTCCACCACGAGCTGAGGATGCTCAAGGGAGGACAGCACCTCCATTTACAACCCTTTGCCTCCCAAATCTGGGGCAGATCACATCTGGACACTCATTTGGAGCCAAAGATATTTAATAGGGCAAAAGACTGGGGATGGACGGACACATGGATGGATGGATGGATGGATGGATGGATGGAAGGATGGATGGATGGGCTGCTAAACACACCCAGGCAGCCTCTGAAGAAATGCAAGATGGAGGGGGAGACCCCAGAGCGCTCTGATGGCAAAGGTGAGATGCTTCATTCAGCAAGGAGGTGGTTAATGAAAAGGGAAATGCTCATCTTCACCTCTTTTGCACATGAATAAGGACCCTGTAGAGGCTGAATCTGCCCCTTACCTTCATCTCCAACACTCTACTGCTCACCATTTGGGCACCAAGTCACATGGCAAAGCATTCAGACCACAAACAGCAGCGACTGAGGAAAAAGGGATTAACATGGAGACGTTCTATAGGGATAAATAGCAGGATTAGTAACTCCCAGTAAGAAGAAGGAAGAGAAAGGAGCCTGCATGGCTGGATGGCGAGAGCATCAGATAAGACACAGGACAACAGAGAAACAGGGACATACAGGATCATCTCCTGCTAGACCTGATATTCTGTGCCCTAAAGAGATGTTTGCAAGTACATGAGCACCCACGTTGCTTAGAAACGTGTTTATGTGATACAGGGCTAAAACTTAAGCCGACAGGTATAAGCAGGCTGTGAAGGTGCAGACCCAGATCTGGATGTGACCTTGGCAGCCTGAAATTCATCTTGTCTGTTATGGGGAAGTTTCAAAACAACAGATGCACGTGTGCTGCTCTTAACACGTGGAGAAAGGGATCTGAGCAGCAAACACCAGCCAAATGGTGGGAGAAACGCAGGTGAAGCTGCCCTGCTTCAAAGCTGGTGCAGGCTAGCCCCCTGCTATGGTCCAGGACATCTCCCAGAGCTGGAGAGCTCCCCGATTCCCACTAGATCATCCTAACTAAACGGTTGCCTGCTGCAAGCCATGTAAACAAGGCACATTGCCAAGTAAGGGCTATTATTTAAGTGGTATATGTATTTCTAAACTGTGTTCAAAACTCTGCTCAGTTTGGGATTTAAGAAGCATTGGGGCAGAAAAGCTGTGACCTTTTAGACAAATAACAATACACAGCCTGTGATTTTTTATTTTTAGCAGAAGCCAGACACCAGTCCAAGCACATTCCAGATTCAAAGCATCCTAAGGGAGAAAAAATTCAAGTGCTTAAGACAACCCTTCCTCACCACAAAGGCTTGAAAGACGACATTATGCTAGAGTTACGCACTGACTTCAGAGGTTTGGATCTGATGGGTCTTCACAGTAATTAATTACCCAGGGAGAAGGATTTCACATGCTTTTGGCCAGCTCTGCATTAGCACCTGCTGGTAGCACCAAAAATTGGGCTGTGAGGATCCCTGTTATGATCAGTGCTGGCTGGCAGTGGTGTGGAGGCTCAGCAGCTTCAGATACAGTGATGCTCTGGTCCTCTCCCTCTCACTGATGCTTTCTGTGAAAGCACAGACCAAGGAGCTTATAAATCTGTATCAGCCCTTCAGGAAAGTGCAGGCTGAAAGAGAAATACAGAAAGGAATTGATTTTTATGAGTCATCTGAGAAGAGATGGAAATCAAAGGCACGACTGACCCGAGCCCTCTTGTCATACCTCTGCCTTCGCAGTGCCTGTCACCTGACCTTGGCAAACACAGTGCTCCCCATCACCACAATTTACAGGTAACTGACATGATTTGTGGTGCTGGATGCTCACCACTGCTGCTATTTTCAGCACTGTTCTGGAGTGCTCCAGGCCTCCCTGCACAGTGGGGATCTGCTGGCTTGTTTGCACTGGTGCTCCAGTGGGAGGAATCGGAGGATGCTCATGCAATAGCATCTTGCAAAGTTACATCCCACCATGAAGCCACAGCCCTTGACAGCTCTTTCCCACTGCACTGGCTGTTATTAAGGTGAGAGAATTGCTTAGAAATAACAATAGTTCTGCAGCACAGACAGATGACTCTTACCCTGATCCTTGTCTCTGACAAGATGATGCTCCTTATATTGGTGACTTTCTGACTCATGCAGCACTGCCTCGTTTGCAGGGTTTTTTTCCACAGGAGTTTCCCCCCTTAGGAAAAGCCTCTGAATGCATTTGACTTTAAAAAGCACAAACCACATATTTAAAAAGCCAGAAGCCTCTTCCTGAGCTGGGTAATAAATAACCAGTGAGAAAAGGAGCACAGGGCAGGAAACAGCGACAAGGACCCTGCTCTCACTCCTGATGTCCCTTGCAACCTTCTTCCTTTTCCCCAGGCTCTGTTTCTCCCCAAAGCCCAGACTTAAAATCAGATCAGGACTCAGCTTCAGGACCACAAGACAGTCTTTCCACCATCCCTTTCCCTCTCCCCTTTCCTGCCTACCCACACAAAGAAACAGTGTCCAAATGAGTGCACTGTGCAGCCAAATGCAAAGTGCATTTAAACCTCAGCACAGGCACAACAGCGGGTTCATGGGGGACACCAGGCTCATCCACACAAAAACCTAGCTCAAGAAAATAGATGCTACCTTATCTTACAATACCAAATAGCAACTTTAACCAGATATCAGCTGCAGACTGCATCGCATCTGCTGGCACAGACCATGCGGTACTTCGCTTCCTCCCAGCACCATGTGGATCCACAGGCTGATGAAGCAGCCACCGCACTTCACTGGTGCTCAAAAGCTCCAGCCTGGACAGCAACCTGCATTAAACATCTGCAGCTCCCTTCAAAACCCATTAACATCAGGACTGTGTGTTACAGAGACTTCTGACCTCTTTTTCTTGCCTCCCTCCCTCCCACACTGCCTGCCCATTGTCAGCACAGCCACTGCTCCCACCTTGAGCTGCTCCCAGCTTCAACCTCCCTTTCTGGAGGGCAAAGGAGCCCGGCAGCAGTGGCTGTGGGATGGCAGGTCCCTGCCCAGCTCCCTGTCCCAGGAGAGGGCAACACATCCACGGCTATCCCACAGGGTGGGTTTCACTGCAAGAGGCTGTCACCGGATTGAATTTGTTAGAGGAAAAGTGCAGCTCCTTTAATACCTGCATGTTTGCCTGAATATAGAATTGAGTATAGTCTTGTGTCCTGCTCCAGGGCAACAGCACAAGAGGGACGTGGAGCTGCTGGAGCGAGGCCAGAGGAGGCCCCAGAGCTGCTGCGAGGGCTGGAGCAGCTCTGCTCTGGAGCCAGGCTGAGAGAGCTGGGCTGGGGCAGCTGGAGAAGAGAAGGCTCCTCAAGGGGACACCTTAGAGCAGCTCCAGGGCCTAAACGGGTTCCAGGAAACCTGGATAGGGGCTTTGGACGAGGGATGGAGGGACAGGACAAGAGCAATGGCTTGAAACTGCCAGAGGGGGGATTGAGATGGGCTCTGAGAAAAAAATGAGGGTGCTGAGGCGCTGGCACAGGGTGCCCAGAGGAGCTGTGGCTGCCCCATCCCTGGCAGTGTTCAAGGCCAGGTTGGACACAAGGGGCTTGGAGCACCCTGCTCTAGTGGAAGGTGTCCCTGCCCATGGCAGGAGTTGGGACTGGATGAGCTTTAAGGTCCCTTCCAACACAAACCACTCTGGGATTCTATGATTCTGTAACCCTGTGCCAGCCAGCAGCTCATTGAACCATCTGGCATTGCCTACCTTGTGCGAGTAATGCTGATCCACGATCCTGGCCAGCCCGAAGTCTCCGATCTTCAGCACCAGATCCTCCGTGCTGATGAAAATATTGGCTGGCTTGAGGTCCCGGTGGAGGACGTTGGCCGAGTGGATGTACTTGAGCCCCCGCAGCAGCTGGTACATGAAGAGCTTGGCGTGCTCCTCGGCGAGCTTCCCCTGCTCCAGCAGGCGTGCCAGGTCCGTCTCCATGTACTCCTGGACGATGTACACCATGTTGAACTTGAAGAAATCCCCACGCAGGCAGGCGCCCTTGGGGCCCAGCACCTCGTACACCTTCACGATGTTGTCGTGGTCCAGGCGGCGGATGATTTTGATCTCACGGAAGGCGTGCTTCATGCTGCGCGCGTCGCCAATGGTGATCTTCTTCACCGCCACTTTGCGGCAGGGCTTGCTTTCGGGGGCTGGCAGCCACCCCCCAC